TCTTAGAGGTCTTGGATAACGGGGGAGGTGCCTGAAGACTGGAGGGCAGCCAGCGTCACTCTGGTCTTCAAAAAGGGCAAGAAGGAAGAGCCGGGTAATTGTAGGCCTGTCAGCCTCCCCTCTGTCCCTGGAAAGGCGATGGAGCAGCTGTGCTGGATGCCATCTCCAGACAGCTGGAGAAAAGGAGGTGATGAGGAGCCGTCAGCGCGGGTTCACCAGGGGGAGGTCGTGCTCCAGCAACCCGGTGGCCTCCTGCGATGTTGTCACACGCTGGGTGGATGGGGGCAGAGCAGTGGATGCAGCCTGCCTTGATTTCAGCAAGGCTTTTGGTGCCGTCCGCCACGGCATCCTTATAGCAACGCTGGGGAAGCGTGGGATGGGTGAGTGGGCAGCGAGGTGGGTTGAGAGCTGGCTGCTGGCAGAGCGCAGAGGGTCGGCGCTGGCGGTGCAGAGTCTGGCTGCAGGCCTGTGAGCAGCGGTGTCCCCCACGGCTCGGTGCCGGGTCCTTGTTCAACATCTTCATCGGTGACCTTGAGGAGGGGATGGTGGCCACCCTCAGGGAGTTTGTGATGATACGAAGCTGGGAGCATTGGCTGAAGGCCGTGCTGCCATGCAGCCAGAGCTGGACAGGCTGAGAGCTGGGCAGCAAGAAGCAGGAGGAGGTTCAACAGAAGCAAGTGTAGAGTCTTACAGCTAGGGGGAATCATTGCGTGCAGCGGTGCGGGCTGGGGGATGAGCTGGAGGGGAGCTCTGCACAGAGGGATGTGGGCGTCCTGGTGGACGACAGGTCGGCCATGAGCCAGCAGGGTGCCCTCGTGGCCAAAAGGCCAACGGCGTCCTGGGGTGCATTAAAAAGAGGGTGGCAGCAGGTGGAGGGAGGCGATCCTCCCCCTCTGCTCTGCCCTGCTGAGGCCTCAGCTGCAGCGCTGCGTCCGGTTCTGGGCTGCCCAGCAGCAAACAGGCAGGGAGCTCTTGGGAAGAGTCCAGCGCAGGGCCAGGAGATGGCGAGGGGCCTGGAGCATCTGTGCTATGGAGAAAGGCTGGGTGAGCTGGGGCTGTTCAGCACGGAGGAAAGAAGGCCGAGAGGGGACCTGAGCCAGGGCCGTAAATATCTGAGGTGTGGGGGCCATGGTGGTGAGGCCAGGCTCTGTTCAGTGGGGAGTGGAGACAGGAAAGGGGGAAAGGACACAAGCTGCAGCATAGGAAGTTTTGCACAAATGGGCACAAGAGCTTCTTGGCAGTGAGGTGAGGAGCAGTGGAACAGGCTGCCCAGCGAGGTGGGGGAGTCTCCTGCTCTGGAGATGTTCAAGACCTGCCTGGATGCCAACCTGTGCGACCTGCTGTAGGAACGGCTTTGGCAGGGGGTTGGACTGGATGAGCTCTGGAGGTCCCTTCCAACCCCTACAGCTCTGCGATGCTGTGATGCTGTTACCTATGTTCCCCCCAGAGGAACCTGTCCCTGCTCCCACTGCCCAGCATTTTCCTCCTGTTGTCCGGTTTGACCAGCGCATCCTGATTCAGCCATGCTGGTCTCTTTCCTTTCTTTCCTGACGTCTTTCACCCAGGGATTGAGAGCTCTTGTGCCTGGCAAAAAGCTGCCTTGAAGATCTGACAGCTCTGCTGCACTCCCTTGTCCCTGCAGATGCTTTTGAGGGGGGTCTTGCTGACTAAGCTCCCTGAAGAGCTCAAGGTTGGCTTTCCTATAGTTTCGCATCCTGATTTTGCACTTTGTCCCACATCCTTCAGGACTGTGGATTCCAACGCTGCAGGGTCACAGCGGGCCGGGCGGCCTCCCATCATTGGATGCCACCAAGCAGTTGGTGAGCAGCAGGTCGGGAGGTGCCGCATCGCTCACCCCTCCTCTCACTGACCGTGGCAAAGCTCTGGACCAAGTGTGAGAGACAGGACTTCCCTGCCCAGGCTCTGGACCCGCGGCTTGGCCTTTTAGCTCCACCAAACAAAGCGTGGGCTTCACCCAACAGCAAAATCATCCACACAGGGTCTTTGCCTACCTGTAGTCACAGCCTCCAGTTATTTGCTCTAACAAGTGCACAGGGAGGCTTTATTGGTAATTGCTCCGTTGGGGCTAATTAATACTCCAAGATGCTTCAGCATTTCCTTTGGACTTTACTTCTATCGTGTGGTTCCGTCAGTCAGTATCTGCAATGCTTGGACTCAGCACCAAATACACGGTGGCATTAATTACAGCGATCAAGGCCTAATGAGCCGTTTCCCTCAAGTCTTCAGCTGTGCACTCTTAATTAGGGAGGTTTCAAAGTGGCAGTAAAAGAGGAAATTTCCAAAGAACATTTTCCTAAATGGACTTTTCATACTGAAGAGCATTTTTTCTTACTTTTCTGCCTATGGAAGAAGCGTTAGAAGCTCACTGCACGCCGTGCTTTGTTGTCCCCTAAAGATGTCTGGGAAAGCCACCGTGCAGACAGCCTTCCTCCCCACTCCTCTTCCCCACCACGTTGCTCAGCAGTCAGCTGGGACTTCCAACACTTCTTTTCAGCACACTGCAGCCTGCAGCTGAATGTTCAGCTCCTTGGCACAAACTCCCGCCTGCTTTCACACAATCACAGAATCACAGAATCAGGCGGGTTGAAGGGACCTCAAGGCTCATGGAGTTCCAACCCCCTGCCCAGCAGGGCCACCAAACACACACATTCACATCAGGTTGCCCAGGACCCCGTCCAACCTGGCCTTGAACACGGCCAAGGACGGGGCATCCACAACCTCCCTGGGCAGCCCGTTGCAGGGCCTCACCGCTCTCCTTGGAAACAACTTCCCCCTCACATCCAACCTCCATCTTCCCTCCCTCACCTTGCATCCATTTCCCCTGGTCCTGCTCTTGTCAGCCCTTGGCAAGAGTTGACTCCCCTCCTGGCTGTAGGTTCCCTTCAGTATCGATAGGCTGCACTGAGGTCACCCCGCAGCTTCTCTTCTCCAGGCTGAACAAGCCCAACTCCCTCAGCCTGTCCTCATAGGGGAGCTGCTCCAGCCCCCTGCTCATCTCAGTCGCCCTCCTCTGCACCCTTTCCAAAATCTCTCTGTCTTTCTTGCACTCAGGGCTCCACACCTGGACACGGGACTCCAGGTGGGGCCTCACAAGAGCCGAGTAGAGAGGGACGATCACCTCCCTGTCCCTGCTGACCACCCCTCTCCTGATGGAGCCCGGGATCCCATTTGCCTTTCGAGCTGCCACAGCGCACTGCTGCCTCATGTTCAGTCTCTGGGCCATCAGGACCCCCAGGCCCTTCTCTGCCGAGCTGCTCTCAAGGTTATGTGCTATAAGTGTTATGACACTTTTTGGAAGGGCAGGCCAGCAAGGCAGGGACTGGACTTCAGAGAATCACTGAATCATTAAGGTTGGAAAAGACCTCTAAGGTCATCTACTGCAATCAGCCACCTACCACCAAGAGCACCCACCAAAATGCCCCTAAATACTACATCCGTCCTTTGCTTAAGCAACTCCAGAGACGGTGACTCCACCAATTCCCTGGGCAACCTGTTCCAACAATCACTCTTCTGAGAAGAAATTCTTCCTAATAGCCGACCCGAACCTCCCCTGGCACAACTCGACTCCATTCCCTCCCTTCCTATCACTTGCCATCCAGGAGAAGAGGCCGAATTCCGCCTCACCACAAACCCCTCTCAGGGAGTTGCAGGGAGCGATGACGTCTCCCAGCCCTTCTCTTCTCTGCAGTGAACACTTCCAGTTCCTTCAGCTGCTCTCCACCAGATCTATGCTCCAGCCTTCACAGCTCCGTTGCCCTTCTCTGGACACACTCCAGGCCCTCGTGTCTTGCTGTGTGTGGCCCAACACTGAACACAGCATTTGAGGTGCGACCTCAGCTGAGCGCAGAGGGACGATCGCCTCCTGCTCCTGCTGGCTGCACTACTGCTGATACAAGGCAGGATGCCAGTGGCCTTTTGCCTCCTGTGCACACCGCGGGCTGACGTTCAGCTGACTGCAGAACAACACCCTGTCGTGGCCTTATGGTTTCTGGTTGTCGGTATTCCACTCGTACCACAATATGATACATATGATGTACCACGCTGGAAGTGCAACAGTTAATGCTCCAGTTCCATGGATTGTGCATACATCTGGGTGCCCGCTTCTCAGAAGAGAAGAACTACATTCTACACACCTAAGAGGACTTGGTGCTATTCTGATTCCATTTTCCGTTCAGAAGCAAAGATAAAACTGTTTGCATATTGTGAGATGTTCCCTTTTTCCTCTTCTGCTTGGCCTGGCTAGATGTCTCATCTGCCTCAGCATGAGAGTAAGGCCCTCAGTTTTTGGACCCTCTCTATCTTTTTACTTGACTTGTTAGCTTCAATTCTAATGTATTGCATTATAGTGTGTTATCTTGCATTCTGATATCTGTTTTAGTAAACTCGTTTGTTTCTCCTCAGGTTGTTGCTGCTGTTTTGTTTCTAGGCCCACCTCCCCACCCTTTTCCATTTTTCCCTTTCATTTTTCCCCGGGCCTGGGTCGATCGTTGACAAACCCCCACGTCTGTTTCCTCTGCTCAGCTTTTCAGCCACTCTGCCCCAAGCCTGTAACCATGCCTGGGGTTGTTGTGTCCTGTGTGCAGGACCTGGCACTTGTTCCTTGTCAACTTCAGCCCTATGGCTCCAGCCATGGGACAGTCTGTCCAAGTCCCCCTGTAGGGCCTTTCTACCCTTAGGAAGATTGACACTTGCCCCTAGCTTGGTGTCAGCTGTAACCTCACTGACGATGCACCCAATGCCCTCATCCAGATTGTCAATAGAGACATTAAACAGGGCAGGACCCAGTGCTCACCCATGAGGAACACCGGTGCTGGGCGGTCGCCAGCAGGACCTGTTTCCTTTCATCAGCCTTCCCGGACCCCTTCACCCTTCAGGTCTGACTCCCAAGGGATCCTCCTGCTGTGGCTTAACCTGAGGCGGCTCACACAGCCGCACAGATGTTCGCTCACCCCCCCTTCCCAGTGCCATGGGCCAGAGAATAACAAACAAAACAGTCATTTACTAACGCAGAGGAAAGGAAAAGGATAATCGTTGTGACAGATACATCTCCATAGCAATGTATGTAACAAGTGATGCACGAGCAATTGCTCACCGCTTCCAGAACCATGCCCAGCTAGCCCCTCAAATAGCAGGATTGAGCAAAGCGAACACCCCCCCCTTCAAAACTCCTTCTGCTTGATGTCATACGCCATGGAATATTCCTCTGGCCACTTTCGGACAGTTGTCCTAATTCTCCTCCCTGCCAGCTGCCTGGGCCCTTCGCTGTGAATGGCCTTGGCTCTGTACAGCACTGCTGAGCAGCAGCTATAAACATCAGTGTGTCAGCAACACTGTTTTTCTCCTGGAACCAAAACACAGCGTCATACCAGCCACTGTGAAGAAAACAGCTCAATCCCAGCTGAATCTCAAAGCTGCTGGTGGGCATGGAGGTCTTGGTGAGGGGCTCGTCTGCCTGGCACTGTGGCTCTTCTACTTGCTGTGCAGTCCAGAAAGTGAGCAGCAGGGCAGTGGAGGCTGTGCTGGGGGCTATGGCCATGCTGACCTCATCTCACTGTGTTTCAGGGCACCCCATGCTTACCACACCAGCTAACACCTGATTCCCCCAGACCTGCTGCTGTTCTTACTCATAAGGGAGCTGCTCCCAGCCTCCATCATCTTCGCAGCCCTCTGCTGAAGTCCCTCTGGCAATTCCTTGTCTGTCTTGTACTGAGGAGCCCAGAACTGAACGCTGTGCTCCAGATGTGGCCTCACCAAGGGCAGAGCAGAGGGGGAGGCTCACCCTCCTCAACCTGATGACCACACTCATCTGATGCACCCTAGGATACCGCTGGCCTTCTTGGCCACGAGGGCACGCTGCGGGCTCATAGTCAACCAGCAGGTCATCCAGGTCCTGCTCCTCAAAGCTCCTCTCCAGAAAGTCAGGCCTAACCTGTACTGACAACAATGACTGTGTTGTCTTTGAAGCGTTTTTCAGTAACTCTCACCATGACCTCCTCTGTAATTTTGCCAGGCACCGAAGAGAGACTGGCAGGGCTGGAATTGGCAAGGTCTTCCTTCTTGTCCTTCCTAGAAACTGAGATGTTCCCCAGCTTCCAGACAACTGGGACATCTTGCAATTCCCAGCATCCATGGATGAACTCCATGGGCCATAGATTTACACGCATGCGACTGGAGCAGCAAATCCTACCCACGTTCGCAGTCCACTGGAAGCTTATCATCAGTGCAGTCATGCTCCTCAGCTCAGGGCTCCAGGAGTCCCACGACCCATCCACAGTGTTCAATGTCGAGGTGAAAAAACATGCATTCTGTGACTGCTTGTTCTATGTCCCGACGTATGAGGTGATCAACCTCATCAAGCAACGAAGAGACGTCACCCACGATGCTCCTTTTGCTGGTTACACGAACCTTTCCATTGTCCCCCACATCAGTGGCCAGCTTCAGCTTTAACTGAGCTTGGGCAGCATAAACCTTACCCTCAGAACAGTAGACAGCATTTCTGTTGTTCCCCCATGTTGCCTGACCGGGCTGCCAGTGTCCACTCACTTTCCTTTCCACCTAAACTCCAAGAGAAAAACGCTGCTCAGATAAGCTGGACTTCAGTCCCGCTTCCTGACTACCAGCAGTCTGCTTCTACCTGCACAAGTGCCCTTGAGAGACGGCTCTTAAATGGCGACCAGCACTGATGGACTCCAGTGCCGAGGGCAAGAGATGCTGTTCTAGAGATACCACTTCAATTCCATACAGAACCACTAATTGGGATCACTATCTTAAGTTAGATTCCCACTTAATTGTCTCATCCCTTAACCAGTACCCAGAGCTCTCAACCATGTCAGTGCCAACTCCAAGCTCCTTTGCATATCCACCCTATTGCCAGCCGAAAGAGAGCAATATGCACAATTCCCACGGCAGGAAGGAAGGGGGAAGAGCATTTACACGGGCCCAGAACACCAAGAATGGATCTAAGGTCAAGAAGGGAGCTACAGTCCATCCAAAGCATGGGAAAACTCTCCTGCTGATCAGGGAGAAATCAGGGGCTGGCTGATCCCAATGCACCCAGTGAAAATGTGAGCACCTCCTCCGAGCTCTGGAGTGGCAATCACGACCCTGGAGCGGGACGCACGTAGCACCGCCTGCTGTGCTCGCAGAGGTCTCTCTTACCCCAGCTGGGATGCTGCTTCTTTACAGTGCTCCCCGTTCATTTGCCAATTCAGGGACTTCTGAAGCTGGGTGTCAATGAGGAAACTTCAAATCTGTGTTGCAGCTGTCGTGACTTGACTTGCTGACAGCAGTAAAACGTCACCAGGCAGTAGCCCTCCGACAGGTAACGGAGTGGTGAGCAGGAGACGACAGGAAAAGCAGAAGTCGATTCGCATAAGCGATAACCAGGATGAGGAAGGGGACAGGGGGGGTTGGATCTGTCCTGCGACCGAGGTCGGGTACCCAAACATGGATGGGGTTTGTGTTTCCCTGCCCTCAGCCACACACACCATTCCCTGCTGAGCTCACAGTGGATCTCCCCGTTCACACGCACCGGAGCACATCTTCATTACACTGAGGATTACATTACAGAGCTCTCCCTGCTGGCTGCAGCGCATTACCTGTCGGATGAAGGAGTCTGGGGACTCACAGGCTCCGTCTCTTGTGAGGACGTGCAGGTAGGTAGGGAGGCAGGAACTGAAATCAAAGCTGTGCACAAACTCAGGGCACTTTTATGGACTGTCTCCTCTGTGGATGCGCTTGTGGGAGTTGAGTTTAGAACTGCTGCTGAAGCTCTTCCCGCACTCACAGCACTGGTAGGGTCTCTCTCCTGTGTGGATTCGTTGGTGGACGGTCAGGTAGGAAGAGGTTTTGAAGCTCTTCTCACACTCCGAGCACTGGTAAGGTCTCTCTCCCGTGTGGATGTGCTGGTGGTAACCGAGGCTGGAACTGCTGCTGAAGCTCTTCCCACACTCGGAGCACTCAAAGGGTCTCTCCCCTGTGTGGATACGGTGGTGGCACTTCAATTCAGAGCTTCTTTTGAAGCTCTTCCCACACTCGGAGCACTTGTAAGGTTTATATCCCGTGTGGACGCGCAGGTGGACAATGAGGTCAGAGCTGCTTTTGAAGCTCTTCCCACACTCAGGGCACTGGAAGGGTCTCTCCTCAGTGTGGATGCGCTGGTGGTTGATGAGGGTGGAGCTGCTCTTAAAGCTCTTCCCACACTCGGAGCACTTGAAGGGCCTCTCTCCGGTGTGGACGCGCTGGTGGATAACGACGTTGGAGCTGCTGCTGAAGCTCTTCCCACACTCGGGGCACTTAAAACGTCTCTCCCCCGTGTGGATGCGCCGGTGGTCAGCGAGATTGGAACTGCTGCTGAAGCTCTTCCCACACTCAGGGCACTTGAAGGGCCTCTCTCCCGTGTGGATGTGCTGGTGGTGGATGAGGTGGGAACTGCACTTGAAGGTCTTCTCACATTCTTGGCACTTGAAGGGTCTCTCTCCTGTGTGGATGCGCTGGTGGGAGGTGAGGTGAGCGCTGCTTTTGAAGCTCTTTGGACACTCCGGACACTTAAAAGGCCTCTCCCCCGTGTGGATGCGATGGTGGACAATGAGGTCAGAGCTGCTTCTGAAGCTCTTCCCACACTCAGGGCACTTGAAGGGTCTCTCTCCTGTGTGGATGCGCTGGTGGCGGATGAGGTTCGAACTGCTTCTGAAGCTCTTCCCACACTCGGGACACTCGAAGGGCCTCTCTTCTGCCTGGTCCTGCTGGTGGATAAGCAAGTTGCAACCTTTTATGTTCCTCTTTTCACACTCAAGGCATTTAAACCGAATGCCTCCTATGTGGATGCTCTGGCGGTCAACAAGGCCAGAGTTCCTGTTAAGGCTGTTCCCACACTCAGCACGTGGGTGCTGCCTTTCCTCCTGGCACACTTCCTTGCTCCTTGCATCTTCAGGCTGCTTTTGACCTGTGCTGCAGTCCAGGAGGTTCCTCACAATCTCTCCCTGCTGCTTCTTCAGGCGCTCTCCCTGCCCCAGGCCCCCTTGCACATCCCTCCTGGCTTTTCCCACCAAGGCACTGCCCCACTGCCATTTGGCCACATCACACTTCTGCAGGACCTCCTCTAGAGCTGTCATCCCATCCTCTGCTGGATGACAGAGGAAATCCAGCAATAATACATTAAGCCAGAATACTGCCTAGCCAGAGATGGCTTCTGCCAGCCACAACCTCCTCCCGTCCCCCACAGGCTCACCTGGGCTGAGGACTCCCGCCACGTCCTCCAGGCCATGCACACCCGAGAGCCAGGGGTCTTTCCCTTCCTCAAGCAGGGAGATCACTGCAGGTTTGGAGGCTGGAAGTGACATTTCAGTGATACACACACTGAACATGAGAGCATTCCATCATTCTGGCACAGCTGCTCGTCCAACGGCTGCACTGTGTGTCTGTCCCTGCAGCTTCTGAAACCACTGTAAGGGCCTGAATGGCACTGGCCCTGGAACAGCCTGCCTTCCTTCGGACCCCAGCGTGAATTTTACATCTTCAAAAACTGCATAGGGATAATTTCTTTAATGTTCACATTAGGTTGCCTTATTGCCATCCAAACTGTTCAGTGCCCAAGGCTTCATAAAGGTTTATGGGAGTTCAAAGGGGAAGAGCAAAAAGGCAAATAAATAACCAGAGAGTTGTCAGGTTGCTGGAGCCAGTGGCACCATGCAATGCAGCCAGACCAAGACGGTTTGCAGGAGCTGATCCAGCTCCTCCTGGCTGATGCCTGCTTGCCAGCCAGTGACTCTGGGTCTTTTCTCACAGTGCTGAGCACACTGATCCCTTCTGAAACTCACGTGAAACTTATTTACATTTCATTCGTCGTGCTGTTGTATTAAGCCCTTAGTAACTGCATTGCAATTACACTGATTGCAGAGGCCCCGATTGCAGAGGCTCATTCCGCACAGCCAAAGGAGCCCTAACAAGAAGGAAAGGCTGCAAAGCCCACAGCCCCATACGTCTCCAGCATCACATCCTGGTACAGCACCTGCTGCGCAGGGTCCAGCAGCGCCCACTCCTCCCTGTTGAAAGGCACGGCCACCTCTGCAAAGCTCACGGGCTCCTGCAAGCAGAGGCTCCTTGCTCAGAACAGCCCAGGCCCACGGAAGCAGCTGGCAGAGGAGAGAAACTCCAGTCCCGGCGGCTCCTTTGTCCCCAGCACATAAACACTGGCTGAAGGCACTTCCCTCTCCCCACGTATTCACATCCCTCACCCAAAGGCCTCTCCTGCGTGCTTCCCAATGCCCCTACCTGAGGCGGATGCGCTGCGGCCATTTGTTGCTCTCCTGCAGGTAACGTGTCAGGGATGATCACAGGTGAAAGGCCGAAGTTTCACAGGAGCCTGCTGGGACAAGACAAGTGGCAGCGGAGGTGTGAGGGAGTGCAGCAGCCCCCGTCCAAGACCGGTCCTCCCCAGCCCATCTGAAGGGCATCGCTTGAGGGTAAAAGGCACCTGGGGCTCGGACCAGCAGCACTGCACCCATCTCCAATCTTGTCACGCCACTCTACATTATATCGACCAGTGCACTGCTGCTTCTCCCATACAAGTATATATTGTTGTAGGATCCGTGCGTTAGAGATCTGTGATGTCTGCACGATGGCAACGAGGGACACCAGCTGATTACAAGAGCCATGGACTGAACCGCGGCCCCAAACACTCATAAGAATGGGCTGGAGACAATTGTTTCAGCTGAGAAACGAGAGATCATTAGGGGCTGTAAAAGGACAAAAGGTGGAAAGGTGTTCTACGCACAATGGCAGCATGGGATGTTACATAGGAAGCGAGGGAGAACAAAAACAAACAGCAACAGGGAGCAGAAGTTAAAGGAAAAGAAAATAACTACAAAGAATTGCAAACAAGTTTCCCAAAGTGGAGCAATGCACCATGGAAAAAACCTCATTAGTCCTTGGCAATCCTAGAGTTACAGTTCCTGATCAGCCCACAAGTATTGCGTGCAGCGCAACTGTAGCACACCAGAAACGAGGTAACAGCGAAGGAAAGCAGGGTATTTTAGTCCCTCCACAGGCAGGGCCAGCAAGGAAAGGAAAGCACCCCAGTTCCTTCGACACCCAGAGGATGGTAAGGCCTGAAGGAAGAACAAACAGGGGCACTGGGACGGCCTGCCAAGGAACAGCAGCATCAGTAAGTGAATGATGACGCCCCGTACGGATATATCAATTCCTGCTGGGCTTTAACGACTATCGGCAGTCTTTCCAAGAAATAAAGAAGCACGAAGCTTCATTTAAACCTAACTGGGTTCCGGAAAGCTGAGCGCGCAACTCAGACGGCAAAGAGTTAAGATCACCAATGGAAACAGAACGAAACGCCGCGCTCCAAACGGCCGATTCCGATTCCTACCTCTCCGGTAAGAAATGCATGTCAGCCTTTCACCCTGCAGCCATCTCGCAGGGCTTTTAGCGCTTTGAACGGACGACTGGCGCCGTTCCTTCGGTTCAATTGTTAACTCTCCCAACCCCCGCAGAAACAGGGAGGCTGCAATGCCTGCATTTTGCAGAGCGCCCGCACACGTTTGATACAAAAAATGTGGGCCACCGTGCCCCATTTCTGCTGCGGCATTTGGGTGGGATTTCTGAAGGGACCGCGGATCTGAAAAATAACAACTGCAGTCTGTGACTCGCAGCTGCTTATGCCGCACGCGCTCCAGCATTACCTACAGATCCACTCCCTAAAGATAGGAAATTGCACCGACCTACCGTGAACTTCCAGCGAAGGGAACTCGCCCTAAAGAAGCAAACCCCCTTCCCGGGTCTCGGAAGATCGACACAGCCGCCTCGTCCCACGGAGACGGAACGGACGCGGATCCGCCGTTTGGCCAACAGGAACGCGCTCGGACACCGGCTTCGGGATCACCTCCCGCACCGCTCCTCGGCGCAGCGCCGTCCCGGCACCGAAGAGACGGCCGCTCTGCCGGCCCCTAAGCGGGACCCCGGCAGAAGATCCCTCCCGCACGGCGAGGAGAGGCCGCAGCTCCGAGTCCAGGCCCCGACCCCGGGCCGCTTCCCCGCCGCGCCTCCGATCGCCGCCCGCGCGGCCTCAGCGCACGGAGCGCAGCTCCTCGGGGCGGGGCAGGAAGCGGGCGGCCGGCGGGGCCCCAAGGAGCTGCGCGAGCGCCGAGCCCCGAGGCGGGGCGGGGGCTTCGGGTGGAGGTGGGGGTAGGGGCAGGGTTGCGGTTACGGGCTGGGTTTGGGTTATGATTCCCGCTGAGTAACAGCAGGTCTGCCAAGGGTTTGCAGAGGTTTGGTTTTCGGCCCTCTGCTGGACTCCTTCTGGCAGAGCCGTGTCTTTCTCGAGCCCGGATCTGGACACGGCGTTGTAAACGCGGCCTCAGCAGGGGCAGGGTCATCTTGCTCGATCTGCTGGCCGTGCAGGCGCGGTGGGGCTGAGCAGCGCGCACAGCTCACCTTCCTGAAGCAGGGAACGAAAGCCGAGCGTGCGGGGAAGCTGCGGCACGGGAATGGAAGGGGGCGGCTTTGGTTGGAGCTCCGCCTTCTGTGTTTGCTGTCCCAGAGCTGATGCGTGAAGACAGGGCTCAGCGCTCTGCCCTGCTCAGCCTCACTTGCTCTGTTGGGAAGAGTCGGCTCTCTCCTGGAAGTGTGGGGGAAGCACTGAACAGAAATGTGCTGCCCGGGAAATGTTTCCATGTGTAACACAAGTAACGGATATGAACTGAAGATCCCAGGCATCCGTACAGACTGGAAGGAGCGGTCCTTGGGAGCAGCCCTGCGGAGGAGGACCTGAGGGATGAAAAGCTGGGCATGAGGCAGCAGCGCTCCTGCAGGTGGGAAAGCAAGTGGGATCCTGGGCTCCATCGGCAGAGGGGCGGCAGCAGGGACAGGGAGGCGACCGTCCCCCTCTGCTCCGCTCTTGTGAGGCTCCATCTGCAGCACTGCGCCCAGGGCTGGAGCCCGCAGTGCAAGAGAGACAGGGAGCTGTGGGAGAGGGTGCAGAGGAGGGCAGGAAGGCGATGGGGGACCGGAGCAGCTGCCCTGTGAGGACAGGCTGAGGGAGCTGGGCTCGTTCAGCACGGAGAAGAGGAGCTGCGGGGTGACCTGAGTGCAGCCTGCAGTGCCTGAAGGGAGCCTGCAAACAGGAGGGGAATCAACGCTTGGGAAGGGGAGAGAAGTGCAGGGGTGGATTAATAGTTTTCATAGTGCAGCCAGCAAAACACAGTGCCTGTCATGTGTCTCCACCTCTAAGGACCCCAGAATTTCGTTACGGAGCAGCTTCCTCTGCAATCAACAAATCCTCAAAGTCATGGAGGAGTGAGTGGAGGGCTTTCCCTCTGTATTTTTGTCTCCCCAAAACATTTTCATTGCCGATTTCCCACACGTTTTAAGATGCATCAACATTTTAAAACGCGAGGTTTTTTTTTTCGCTTCCTCTTGAGTTTACCTGTTTTCCCCCCGTCTTTGGAGCAAAACCTTCCAAGGGGGTCCTGAGTCCTTTCAGAGCTGTGGGTGCAGTGCCCAGTCTGATGGAACAGGAGCGTTTCAGATGCCGAAAGGGATTGTTTTCCTTGTAGTGGTGCTACGGGTGCATGGAGGAGGGGAGCTTCTACTCTCAGGGTGGATGCTCACACGAGAGGCTGTGCAGTGAGGGTAATGCCTTGGCTTGCTTAATTACAGCACGTTTCACGTTCATGGATAACCTGTGCAATAGCATCCATAGGCAGGACCCCTTGGTCCTGAGCTCATCTATACCCCGCATCTCTTTCTGGACGGCCTGAAGGCTCACGGACCCCTCAAGCTATGAATAATTCACCCGAATGTTGCCAGACCAGGTCTGCCACGGCCACTTGGGTCCTGTTGGCCCTCTCAGTGCTCATCAGTGGCACGACTCACGGTGCACGAGCATCTGCGTCGCGTTCCTTTACAGCCACCTTCTCTACCTGGGCAGCAATGTCTTCCCACAGCGCAGCGGCCCTGGTGGGCTTTACCTCCGTGCTGCCTGTTGTTCTGCTTCCACTGCTGTAACCCCCATAGGGCATCTGCTACTCGGTCAAGGAGTCAGTGGAGAGGTAGAGGACCGGTGCCTTTTCTTGTTCAGCAGTGTCTAAAGCCGTCTGGACGGCCTTCACTTCTGCAAATGGGCTCGATTCACCCTTCCCTTTAGTAGCTTCTGCAGCTCATTGTGTAGAACTCTGTCATGGTTCTATGCTTTTTGCTTTTGTTTTTATTTTGGGTTTCAGCATTCCACATCAAAACATCATGCAGTGCACGGGGCATTGAAGTGTCACTGCCCCAATCCCAGTTCCCATCCCTGTACATTACAGCAGGCACGGGATCTGGCCCCTTCCGGGTGGGGGGGCGCTCTCTGGCTGCCTGGCAGTGGGTGCTGGAGGTGCTTTCCTGGCCGTTCCAAGCTGTTCAGGTTTGAACTCTCTCTCTCATCTTGTCTGATTTATTCATCTC